AGGTCATCCGGTGGCCTACGAGAGCCGTAAACTCAGCGAGACCGAGCAGCGGTATCCAGTGCATGAGAAGGAGATGACAGTGGTGATCCACTGTCTATGAGTTTGGCGACACTATCTTCTTGGATCACGATTTGTGCTAAGGATAGATAACATCGCTTTAAGCTATTTCCAAACTCAGAAGAAACTCTCCCTAAAGCAAGCACGATGGTAGGACTTCCTAGCTGAGTTTGATATGGCAATGGAGTATAAGCCCGGAAAGGCAAATGTCATAGCCGATACATTGAGTCAGAAAGTGGAGCGTGTGAATGTCGTAAAATTGGAGGGCAGAGGCCAAGTAAGTCAATTGCACTCCAACTTCCTTTCCAAGATCAAGGATGGTTTGTACAGTGATCCCCAGGCAGTAACCCAGATGCAGCTCATTAAAGAAGGCAAGACACAATAGTTTTGGGTCCAGAAGGGACTCGTTTACACTAAAGGGAATAGGGTTTATGTTCCTCGAGTGGACAATCTGAGGTGTGACCTCTTAAGAGAGTGTTACGATTCCCTTTGGGTGGGACACCCAGGCATTCACAGAACCTTGGCTCTCTTGGAGAGAGCCTTCTACTGGCCGAAGATGGGGACTGATATGAAGGAATATGTTCGAACGTACCTCACTTGTCAACAAGATAAGGTGGAGCAACGGAAGCCGGTGGGACTTTTGGAGCCGTTGCCCATACCAGAAAGGCTATAGGAGAGCATTTCCTTAGATTTCATATCAAGCTTGCTAGCAGTAGGGAGACTCCGATCGATACTCGTGGTGGTCGATCGATTTTTAAAGTATGCAACTTTCATTGCTGCTCCCCTACACTGTTCAGTAGAGGAGGCAGCCAAGCTGATATTGAAGGATGTGGTGAAGTATTGGGGAGTCCCACACAATATCATCAGTGATCGAGACGATCGGTTCCTTGGACGATTCTGGACCGAGCTATTCAAATTATTAGGGTCGAAGTTATACTTCTTCACAAGCCTCCACCCTCAGATGGATGGCTAGACAAAAAGGATAAACTCGCTCTTAGAGCAATAACTTCGGCACTATGTGAGTACCAACCAACGAGATTAGGTGAAGTTGTTGGACATTGCCCAATTCTCCTATAACTTGCACCAGAGCTTTGCGTCCAACAAGAACCCCTTCGAGATCATTATAGGGTAACAACTGTCAACTCCTCACACCATGATAATCAGGTATACTGGGAGTAGTCCGTCAGCCTACCACTTCGCAAAGGATTGGCACCGAAATATAGATATTGTGTGGGCTTACATCGAGAAGGTGATAAAAAGAATAAAGAAGTGGGCAGACTTGGGAAGGCGACCACAAGAGTTCAAGGTCGGCGATTTGGTGTTAGTCAAGCTCCAACCAGTATCACTCCAATTCTTTAGGAACAAAGTACACAAAGGATTGGTATGCAAGTATGAAGGGCCCTTCCCAATTATTAGTAGGGTGGGCAACGTCTCCTACAAATTGCAACTACCGGCGTGGTTCAAAATTCACAATATTTTTCATGCCAGTAACTTGAAAGCCTACCACTCAGATATGCAAGATGCTTCCCGAAGTGTTCCAACTCGGCTACCCCCCACCAGAGCCTCCTATGAGAAGTGAGTTGAAACTATTTTAGCGGACCACAAGATAAAGCTACCCACTGGAGTTGAGCAGACTGAGTACTTGGTGAAGTGGCGAAAGCTTCCCCGAACTGAAGCCAGTTGGGAGCCTGAAGATGCCCTACGACATAAAGAAGCAATCATCAACAACTACCAATAAGCGTCGACGAGGGCGTCGACAGTTTGAGTGGGGGAGAATGTCACAAACGATCATCACGTGCCCGCAACAACTCTGTTCAATGAACCGTTCGTCATTTGTGTTTACATGTACAACTGCATGGCAATATGTTTTGGCTTGGTTTTATATCCTTTTGCTTATAAAAATATATATTCGAACAAGTTGCAGTGCTACAGTGCGACCGCTCACCAAACCGAGCAAAACAGCCCAAAATAGCTCTGTTTTCATGTGCCATGGACTGTTTTCTATAGCCTACTACTGCACGTGAAATGTCAGCCATCTCAGCACCTTGGAATCACCCGGGTGGCACCATGGGGGATGGGGCTTCGGTATAGTGTCGGGCGTTAAATAATCTTTTGCAAGTTCTTATGTTACCTTGACAGGAACTTGTTGTAACGCCCGGCACCCGATGAGCAGCTATTTGTGGACTTGCAGCTATTCGTTCAACCTTCTAAAGTCCTTGTTTTCCTCCTCTCCTTCTTTTCTCTATGCACGCAAGGTACTCGCTAAATTGCTTGTAAAACTGTCCCTTTTTGCGAGACGTTGGGACTTGTTCGTCGCTCGTTCTTCGAACTAATCAACTTTCTATTTTATATGTCCTTCGGGACCTATGAGAGGGTGCAAGTGAGCTGATCTTTGCGGACGCATATCGCAAGGGCGAGGTGCGACTTAGGCAACACAAGCTAAGTTTGCGTCTTTGTCGTAAGGGTACCTTACGACTTAGGCAATTCCAACTAAGTCTGTGGCAATTAAGAGCAATATGTATTTATCCCCAACATCAATGCATATATTTAAGTTTAAAGATCTTAAAGTCATATCATAAAAGGCTCCATCACGTGTGTTCCTTGATATAGAAGAATTCTCAAGATACATTTGACTCTAAAAGGCTTCTATTGTCAAATCTAACTTAAGCGATAGAAGAGTATTACTAGGCATATGCCAATGCAGTTTATTGTATTCGGAACATTGAAGAATCAAAGTTTTTCAACATTTTTCGACATGAATTAGAGACATGTGGATAGAATCACGGTTAGCTCTGAATTAGCATTTCAATCAATTAGACAATCAAAATTTATATAAACACATACGAGTAAAATAATATTTAAAAAATATATTATATCAAAATTTATTAAAAAAATATTCTAAATACTTTCATATTAACTCAAATTGGCTATTTATAGCTATTGGAAGTTAACATGTTTTTTAAAAAATATTAATGAGAGTGATATATTTAAGGGAGGTTAGTCCTCATGTGTGACTAAACTTAATATTTAAAGAAGATTTCATTCGGTAAATTTCTTAATAGTTTATTACAAGATCTGAATCCTGCCTTCACCATTTATCCTTTGTAAAAAAAATGACACATATTATATCAAAATTTATTATAACAAATATTTAAAGTATTTGTATAGTAACCCAAATAAGCTATTTATAGTTAGATGCACTTAGTATTATTTTTTTAATTTTAGTGGTAAGAATATATTTAGGTGAATTTATTAGTTAGCTTAACTCGTAAATATTTTGACAAATTATCATAGGATAGACTCAAATCTTGCCTTCATTGTTACCTTTAAAAAAATTTAGTATTTGAGAAATTAGTATGATATGTGTTGGCTAGCCCGCCTAGATATGTATTCTATCAAAATTTGGTAGAGAAAATATTTTAAGTATTTGTTTATTAACTCAAATTAGCTATTTATAGTTAATCATATTTTATAATATTTAATATTAATGATAGGAATATATTATACCAAAATTTATTTAAATTTATAGAAATAAATTAAATAAGGATTACATATATAATTAAGACTAAAAAACTATACCTCAATTATACCTTTATAAGTTGATAGTATTAATCTTAATACGGTGCTAGCCAAAGTGGTGACTTATGTTATGATGTGTCCTTTAACTTCACATGTCACGATGTCAGATATTCAATTTCGTTTGGTCAGAATCACTAAAAATAATTAAGTTAAAATTGATAATAATATTTTTATAATATTTTTTAATATAATTTTCTCTATTTTTTTATATAAGATTAATTAGGGTGTTAGAGAGAGAGAGAGAGAATGTGCCCTCTTTCTTCGAACCGGTTCCAGACGCAATCTGAGCATATGACATGTGGCTGGGTTGGTCATTTTGGTGCATCAACCACAACATGTGGGAGAAGATTCGAAGAATGTTACCGTCATGAATGGTCAACCAGTTCCCATGGAGCCTCCTCGAGGGCAAATCATGTGATGCAGGTCGGGGAGCATGTGCGGTCTTTCGTCGAACAAGTTCCGGGCGCAGTCTGAGCACGCAGGCGGCTGTGTTGGTCGATTTGAGGCATTTGGATGACAGCGACGGATAAGTATATACGTTTGATGTGCGTACAAATGGCAGGATTGGGATGCGTAGCAGCTTCATCAGAATGTGCGGTCTTTCGTCGAACAAGTTCCGGGCGGAGTCTGAGCACGCAGGTGGCTGTGATGGTCGATTTGAGGCATTTGCATGACAGCGACGGATAAGTATATAGGTTTGATGTGCGTACGAATGGCAGGATTGGGATACGCAGTAGCTTCATCACCCTCAATTCAATCGATGGATTTTGAGATTCTTTATCGCAGGCGTCGAGTAACTCGTTTTAGGTTTCCTCTCAGTTCCTCTTTTGCTACCTCACTGTCAAACAATTTAGTAGGACAAAAAGAAAGAAAAAGAAACTCCTCTATTGTTTTTACAATCATTCTATCTTAAATTAAGATTTCTCCTATCACTATATCCTTCAGGATTAAAAAAAAATTGAAATATTAGATCTACTTCTAATGCATAACACCTACTAAGATAAATTATTTTACTTCACATACGAAATAGCTGATGCATAAATTTAGCAACATTTTTCATATCGTTCTATTATTCAAAACAGTTCTCATTTATCGAAGTTGGTTTTTCAAGAAAAAAATATATTTCTAAAGATTGTTGAATGTAATTTTTTTTATTTTTTAACAAGATACGAAGGTGATGCGAAAGTGAGATTTAAGTTGACGACGATCTGCGAAGCTTTTTCAAAAAAAGAAAATCATTTTTTTAATCTCTCCATATAAAAAAAAAAATAAATAAATAAATAAATAAATATATATATATATATATATATATATATATATATATACGTGTCGTTCCTCCCTTCCGTATATAGAGAGAGAAAGAGGCCGTTGGAACCGATCGTCTCATTCGTCCCTACCCTGCTTACTTTCCATCGCCATTGTTGGTCTTGGTGTGCTCGAGAGATCTCGGAGATGGCAGGGGGTGGTGGGAGGAAGATCGGGTTGGCGCTCGACTTCTCGAAGAGTAGCAAGGCGGCGCTGAGGTGGGCCATCGACAACCTCCTCCGCAAGGGCGACACCATCCTCCTCCTCCACATCATGCCCGACAAGGGCGACGAGGCCAAGCACCCGCTCTGGATCCAGTCCGGCTCCCGTACGCGCGCCCTCGCCATCCGCCATCCGGCATCTCTTTGCTCGCTCACGCTCTCTTTTGTGACGTGATTTGTGTAGCTCTCATTCCTCTGACGGAGTTCCGGCAGCCGGATGTGATGAAGCACTACGAGCTCGATGTCAACATGGAGGTCCTTGATGAGCTCGACACCGCTTCAAGGCAGAAGGGGGTACCATCTCTTCCTCTACCCGTTTTCTTCCCCTGCTTCCTAAAATTAGAACCAACGGTTTCAGGCGATCATCGTTGCCAAGCTGTTCTGGGGAGACGCGAGGGAGAAGCTATGTCAAGCCGTGGGGGATTTGGGGCTGGACTCCCTGGTCATGGGTAGCAGAGGTGTTAGCCCGATTCGGAGGTAAGGCTTTTATGTGGTTGCTTCCTCGCTCTTTCTATCAACTGTCTTAATTTCCTTCCCCTGTGCTTGCTATTGCTACTGCCACTGAACAGAAGAATGATAGGAAAATAATCATGAAAATAGATAGACGAACAAAATAGTGTTGGAACTTGAGGAAAAAAATCTTCAATTTTTATTCATTGTTCAAGGACTTCAGTTCCATTCTTCCTCAACTTTTTAGCTCTCCTCATAAAAGTCTTGTAAAAAAAGATTAAAAAACAAGATTGATCTAAATTTGTGTGCAGGTTTTAAAATGAGACATAATTAACCACATGACACTTATTAGTTGAGATTGACACTAAAACTCGAGAAAATAGAGAAAGAAAGGAGAGACAGTGCTTAATCAAAGGTTATTTTACTATCATTACAACAATCTAAGTATATTACTTCTTTGATTAAAACTAAACAGGATGAGAATCCGAAAAAAGGCATATTTATTCATGTTAATCGTTGGGTAAGTGTTTGATTATTTGTTAAATAATTTAATTTAATTATCAGATTAGCATTGTGAAATAAATATTATATTAGTGTAATTCTTATTACTGTTGTAGTTATTTAATTATATTTGTTTAATAATTATTTCATCACTTTATTAATCTGTATTAAAAAAATATAAAAAAAGGAGATATCATTATTGTTATAGTGGTTGCATGATTATTTCATCATTTATTTAGCTGTAAAAATTGATAACTTGAGTTTTACCTTCAGTTTATATTTTTGGATTTATATTAAAAAAATTTAACAGTATTCTTTTATTCTGTATACATCAATTTTATTTATTAAAAAATAAAATTCAATAAATAGCATTTGTTAATTGTGATGCAATTGTATTTAAAATTTATATTGTGTTAGATTATTACTAAAATTATTTGTGAAATGTGTTTGCCCTAAACGGGTATCATAACAAATATTTTAAAGGGTGAAGCAAAAAATCTACTCAACTTATGTTTCTGCTCCATTAAATCAAGACTTATAACCATATGAGTTTTTAATTTTATTTTACATATATTATTCATTTGTCTTATTCCTTTAAACTTAATCTTAAATTTTATAATGAGATGATTGCATATTCCTTAAACTTGACAAATTTAATGGGAATGTGTTTGTCAGGTGGCTTGAACAAGAAACCTAGTTAATAACTCTAGGACTAATTTCTATTATAGGAAAATTATCACCCTTTCTAAATCCTTTTAAATTTACTGATTTTAAAATATCTCCTAAAAAAACAAATATGTTAGGTTTAGAATCCTTAACTTTTGTAAGCCTTAGAAGACATATGTTAGAGGTTTTGAAGGAATCCATTGCTTTACTATTTCTTATTTTAATAACTTTAAAATGGTGAATCATTTACCTATCAATGATCAAGTTCATACATTTCAAAACTTGATCCATGAAATTCATAGAAATAGAACTATTTTTTTGAATCATATCATATCTCTTTCCATTAAATAGACTTTCTCCTTAGTCATTAGGAGATCTCAAATCACTCAAACTCTTAGGTTTGCTATCTAAGCTATTCGGATAGAAGATCATTATTGGCAAAGGAAAGCTTAAGAAAATCAAATATTAGCTAAAGTCAATATGACTAATCTTAAGGTCATTTTCAAAATCATAGAAATTCTAACAAGAACCAAGGTCATAACTTCAAACCCAAGGGTAAAAGGTTTAAACCAAGGTTCTCAAATCCTATTCTAAATTTTAACCCTAACAGTAACTTCAACCAATTTCAAAATTCTAGACAATCCTCCAAACCTAAAGGGAATATGAAGCTAGGAAAAGATCACTTCTGCTTTATTTATGATCAGAATAATCACCTTGCCCAATCCTACTTCTATCAAAAGAAAAAAAAAATGATTTTTACGAAGAAAAGCTCCCTTAAACCTAAACCTCAAGTCAATATGACCGAGGCTGAACTATCAAATTTCTTTTTTAGGTCTATTTCCTTTATCCCAACTATAAATCGAAACTATTATGATTTTATATGGTGGCTAGGTTCTAGTGCAAACATCAATGTTTGTGCTACTCGAGAATAATTTTCCTCCTCTTATATCTCAAGTGGAGGAAGTATAATCATGTGGAACAAGACATCTGGTGTTAGGGAACTGGATGCATCAACCTAATTAGGAAAAACACTTATAATTCATGATGTGTTGCAAGTATTAGATATCCAACAAAACCTAATTAGTGGATCTCTCTTGTATAATTAGGAAATATAATAGTTTTGGAAGCAAACCAAGTTATAATCAACAAGAGAGATATGTAAAAGGGAAAGACTTTGTAATTGAAAGATTTTTTAAACTTAGTATAATAACTCCTTCAAAATGAATCTACAACAAAGATGAATCATTATCCTCTATTATCTTAAATTTTGAATCTTGTGATATTTGGCATGATAGACTTAGTCATGTCAACATCAGATCAATTCAAAGAATGTTTTATCTTGATTTGATTTTAAAATTTAACTCTAAATTTAAATCTAAATGTGAGTTCTGCGCTCAATCTAAAACAATATAAAAAATACTTTAAAAATATTCAATTTAATCTAATGATGTTTGTGACTCTAATAGAATACCAACTAGAGGTGGAAGTCATTATTTTGTGACCCTACATTTTATCTTTTAAAGACTAAAGATGAAGTTATTAATAAATTTAAGATTTATAAGGCTCAAGTTGAAAACCAACTTGATAGAAAAATTAAAATCTTATCTGATAGAGGAGGTGAGTATACTTTTAATAAATTTGTCAAATTTTATGAAGATCATAACATAGTTTATGAAGTCACTACTCCCTATTCACCTCAATCAGATAGAACCCTTTCAGATATAGTTAGTTAATACATCGATCTTTAGTTCAAGAGTACTCTAGAACTTTGTGGGGGAAGCCTCTCATATTTACCTGTTATATATTTGCAGGATACCACAAAAGAATAAGAAGACAATCCCTTAAGAATTTTGGAAGTGTTATAAATCAGAGCTAAGTTACTTCCAAATATGAAAGTATTTAGCTAAGATTAACATATCAGAACCCAATAGAAATAACATAGGTCCTAAAATTGTGGATGTTGTCTTTGTAGGACATTCTATCAATGGCAACACTTATAGATTTCTTCTAGTAAATTCTAAAATATCTAAAATCTTAAATGACACTCTAATTAAATATAGGGATGCATCCTTCTTTGAAAACATATTTGCTTTTCAGATTATCTACTAATATCTCAAGTGAGTGTTTTTCTTTTTTTCCAAATTTTATAAAATCTAATATTCAACTTAAACCTTGAAGAAGCAAGATATGTATGATTGAAAAGAATTTATGTGATAGAATATATCTCAAGTTCATTTCAAGAAGCTATATGCTCTCTGGATGCTTTTTTTTTTTTTTAAAGAGATGATTAATAATGAAATAGAATATGTGAATTCTCACTCACTTATCTCCTAGGGCTAAAGCCCCCCTAATTTACAAGTAGATTTTGAAGAATAAAATTAGGAGCGATGATATATCTAAAAAGTACAAAGCTAAGCTTGTTGTTTAAGGTTTTTTTTGTAAAAGAACTAGCATTGATTATTTTGATACATATGCTTATAGCATGAATTACTACCATCAGAGTCCTACTTGCATTTACTTCCACCCATATGATGGGGATATAAAGCGGAATAATCTTTGTATATGAACAAATACTAGTAGGCCATGATATGCAGCGGAATTAAATGAAATCACAATCAAATAGAACACCAAGATATACGTGGAAAACCCCTCCAATGTGAAGGGTAAAAACCACGGGGCAAACTATAGATAATCCACTATGAGAATAATGAATATACAAATCTCAATCGCTTGCCCTAAACCCTAGCAACAATCATAAGAGAACAACTGGGATACAAGGATCATGTCACTGTCCACAATATCTAAAACCTCCCCAAGTAATCACAGCAAGAGTTTACTGTAGATTTGATCTAGCCTGAGATGAGAACACTACTAGATGATTGAGAACAGTCTCTCTGCATTGTCCTTGTTTTCTTCGTTTTCTTTATCTTGTTTTTCTGCCTTTTCCTTCTCCTCTTTGCTACTGCAAAGCTCTCCACGTTGTTGCCATTTTCTGCCCAAAAAAACACAGCCACCTCCTTATCAAAACTCAGCCACCACACCCCCCTTATATTGATCTAGGGTTAGGTTAAGAGGGGGTGTGGGCTGATAAAGCCCACATGGGCTGAATATGGGCTATCAGCCCAACAACCTCCCCGTTCAGCCTATAAGGGAGGCTGTCCCATTACTCCTCAATGTAAAGTCATGCTGACCAACTGTCAGCATATCTCTTGTCTTTCTTTTGATAAAGTCTTTGTCAACATGTTTGCTCCGTTGTCATCTGTGTGAATTTTCTGAAGCTGCAACTGCTTCTCTTCAAATACATTTCGAATTCAGTGGTATCTGACATCTATATTCTTTGACTTGGAATGAAATATTGGGTTCTTACACAAATGGATAACACTCTAGCTGTCACAATGCACCACATAATTTTTCTGTTTCTGCCCCAATTCTTATAAGAATTCTTTCATCCATAACATTTCTTTGCATACCTCTATAGCAGCAATATATTCTGCTTTAGTGGTGGAGAGAGCAATACACTTTTGCAACTTGGATTGCAATGACACAGCTCCCCCTACAAAAGTAAGTACATAACCTAAAGTAGACTTCCTCGTATCTATATCTCTTGCCATATCTGCATCTGTATAACTTGTCAACACATGTGGTCCACCTCCAAAGCTTAAACAAACCTTAGAGCTCTCTCTGAGATATCTAAAAATCTATTTCACCGCTGCCCAGTGCTCTTTGCCTAGATTTGCAAGAAATCTGCTAGTAACACCAACTGCATATGCGATGTCTGGCCTCGTATATACCATTACATACATTAAACTTCCAATTGCTGAAGCATAAGAAACCTTTTGCATTTTCTCCTTCTTCTCATC